GTTTTGACAAAAAAGATCGGTAAGATGTCTTGTTTAATTTGTGTGAAATAGAAGAATACCCAAATTAAATTATAGCCAAGTGTGATATCACTGTGCATGGCTTTTTGATTGTAACTCCGAATTATATTTTTTATTCAAAGTATAATTAACTGGCCACCATATTCTCTTAGACTAGCTAAATATTATTCCTTCGGTTCTAAACATAAGACTCTTTTTATAGTGTGCATAAGGGTTTTATATTTAGGATCGGAGGAGTATTTGATTAATGATACTCCGTTATATTAATTAAAGGGATTTCTATTCTTTCTTGTTATTAATCAAAATTGAGTGGGTAATTGCTTGAATAATTGACTAGTTAAGGGGTTTTATACTCATATTGATCACCAAATCCAACCACAACTCACTTTTATATTAAAGGTATGAGGAAGTAAAATATAATGAATATTAATTAAAATAATAAATACTTGTAAGCGAATTTGTTATATTTGAAACATCTCAACTAAGACTATTGCCGCACATGAATGGAGGAATCTCAATTTCTGATATGATAGATAGCAAAGAGGATGCCACTAATTTTTTTAAAAAAATTATTAATGGATTCAATCATGATATGTTTGTATATGTTAATTCGTTTGGTAAATGATAAATCAGATTCATTGTCACTTACCGGATCGATGATGATCAATCAATACAGATAGACAAAATTATAATAATTTATAATAATGATAACTTTGACTAACTACTCATGAAGAAGTTTCAAACCCGTTGTTAATTAATCATGACCACAATTAATAAAATCCCTTGAATGATCTCAAAAATGTGCCTTGCTTGAACACTTAATTAATCATGACCACAAGTAATAAAGTTGGTATTGTTTTATTTTAAAATATAACAACTTTTCAACTTTCCCACTATTTAATACACACTTTTCAACAAATTAGGGGTAAAATTATGCTTTTTCGATCATATGTATCTGTACCTTCCAACGCTTTTTTATCATCATCAAGAAGAGCTTTAAATTTTATTAATTTTGTTTTAAAATTTAGGGTTAAGGTGCAATTTTAACAACAAAGTTTTCCCGAAAGAGCACTGGGCACCATAAAGTTTATTTGGGTGCAAAAATATACATGAAGTTGTCAAAAGGGAGCATCTGGCACCATGCCGTTAATGTCCGTCAGTTTACCGTTAGAGGGGCCCACAAAATCAGTTTTAAGGTGCATTTTTAACAACAAAGTTTGCATCAAGGGGCATTAGGCACCATGAAATTTATTTGGGTGTAAAAATATACATGAACTTTGTAAAAGGAAAAAAATAACAAAATTCTTCAACCTCCATAAACATCCATTAATTTTATTCTTTTTGGTCTCACCAAATGCTATATTTTCTTTCTGTAAATTTCCACTTCCAAGCCGATCCATCTTTCTCTCATTATAGTCAACACACACACTCTCTCTGTCATGTTGTTTTTTGAGCCTCCAAGCCTTTTATATGTATTTAAGCAAAACATATCTTTCCCTTCTAGGATATGAGGTTTATTGCTTGCATCCAAGTACTACCTCCAGTCCTTAATATAGGATGCAATGGACTAATTTGAGGAGATTAAAAATAAATAAATAAATTACTTTAAAATATTATATTTATTGTTTTTTCTCCAAATTAATTTTCTTGGCTTGTAAACTAATATATAATTTAATGATGCATATAAATATTTTAGAGAGATCATGTACTATATGCTATTGCGTCAAATAAATAAATAATATAATATTTAAAGTAATTTATTTATTTATTTTAATCTCTTCAAATTAGTCCATTGGATCGTATATTAAGGACTGGAGGTAGTACTCGGGTGCAAGGAATGAACCTCATATCCTAGAAGGGAAAGATATGTTTTGCTTAAATACATATAAAAGGCTTGGAGGCTCAGAAAACAACATGACAGAGAGAGTGTGCGTGTTGACTATGATGAGAGAAAGATGGATCGGCTTGGAAGTACAAATTTACAGAGAGAAAATATAGCATTTGGTGAGACCAAAAAGAATAAAATTAATGGATGTTTATGGAGGTTGAAGAATTCTGTTATTTTTTTCCTTTTACAAAGTTCATGTATATTTTTACACCCAAATAAATTTTATGGTGCCTAATGCCCCTTGATGCAAACTTTGTTGTTAAAAATGCACCTTAAAACTGACTTTGTGGGCCCCTCTAACGGTAAACTGACGGACATTAACGGCATGGTGCCAGATGCTCCCTTTTGACAACTTCATGTATATTTTTGCACCCAAATAAACTTTATGGTGCCCAGTGCTCTTTTGGGAAAACTTTATTGTTAAAATTGCACCTTAACCCTAAAATTTAATAACTTTTCAACTTTATCTATGCTAGATATATACACTTTCTTAAAATAACAAGCTATCCAATAGTAAATGAAAAATAAAATAGTACTCATCTGGTTCTAAATACAAAACTCATTTTATAGTATAATTTACATTACAAAATAGATTTTACATTTATGATTGGAGGGAGTACCTTCAAACTAAAAATTTGATGATGTCACTTATAAATATAACAAAAAATCTTACCTCACTTCCTTATGCACATAACAAATTAATGATGAGATTTATAATAAAAACAAAAAATTTCTCTCTATTCTATAAATAAAACCAGATAAGTATATATAATGAAATATGATCGATCTAATCTTGACAATTAAGACAAGATCGATGAGTTTAATTAGTTAAATTAATATCATTAATAAAAGGACACGTAGGAATAATTAAATTGAAGGGGACACACAATGGTGGATGGTAGAGGAAGCCCTGCTAGCATGCGTGGCAATAATCATCATCATCATCATTTTCATTTCACACACACACACACCCCTTCCAATTCCAATCAATCATGATGATGCTTTGCCGATAATTGACATCCCCCTCATATAATCACCAACTAACAAGCCATCACCATTATTCTGGCCTTGCATCTTTATCACATTATCTTATCGCCTCTTGAAATGGATCGATCACTCGAAATGAGTTTAGATGATAAATGTGGATATACTAGCTCCAGTTCTTAATATAAGAACTCGTTTGATTTTTATTTTGATTCTAAATATAAGATCCAAATCTACTTTGTCTCTTATATTTATTTATTTTTTTTAAAGATAGTCCTCGTAATAATAATAATTCTAGTCAATATACTTAATTAGTAAGAATATTTACGAAAAAACAATACATATTTATTATAAATAACTAATTTAACTAATTTTCTTACTCTGCTAAAATTAGTCAATTAGCTCTTAGATTAAAGATCGAAAGTTGTATATATGTGTGTATATAAGATGTTGATCTAAACTTCCCTATACATAGAGGTATGTATAATCAGAAGAGAATCTCAGTTGTCAAATGGGAGGAAGAAGATGCTGGCAAAAACCTAACCTTGGATATTATAATTGGGGGGAGAGAGAAGGGTCACATGACTTTTTTTGTGTGTGTGTGTGGTGGTGATAGATAGCTAGGGCCACAACAAGGCACATTCTACTACAATATAGAGCATATGCTAGTGCTGCACCGTAGAGAATCTGTATTCACATGCATATATGCATACATATTAGATTGGTTGGTGCAGATATATATGTATTTGCCTCATGATATGTTCATGCATTTTCCTTGATTGATAACAAATATGTAACTTCCTCACTCACCAAACAAATATGTACAAGATTTGTAATATATATGGCTATAAAAAAAATCGAAGCATGATTCAGCGTTAAGTGGCTTATCACTATTATATTGCACATTATTGTTGGAATTTAATTTTGGATGGTCTAGATTAAATTTTTTTATTTTTTATTTGTTAGCAAAATATTATTTTCATGTATACAGAGTCTAAATAAAGATGATTTTTTAAAATAAATTTTTATTTAATAATCATTAAATTGAAAATTTTATATTTACACCATTTACACTGATGAGAACAATTTTAAGAAGGTGTTGACATAATTGCCTATCAGAATTCTGATTTGAATTAGTTGTGATGGCTAATAGACCTATGAACATCATATTTAAAAATAAAAGGAAAAAAGAGATTAAGAATAATTTAACCATGCAGAGCATATAATTTTTTAATGTAAATAGATTGATTTTTTAACCCAAGCAACTTTTAGAGCAGAAGAATTAATGGATTCAATTTGTCCTTTTTCTATTTTTTGAGGTATACAGGTTAGACACAATTTGACATTTAATAGATTTCTTTCATTACTTGTTGGTAAGGCCCAATTAAATGGTCACAAACCCCAACTCGTAAGGCCCCAAGCTCTTTTCCATTCAGTTAGTCTTTTTGTTTCTGTCGGGCATGCACCTTTCACTTATAACGAGTGTTCTTGGTCCAGTTTTTTTCTACCTTAGATTTGATAAAACGCGTTAACCCAAAAAATTAAAAAGGAAAAGATATATATATATATATATATATATTTTTCCAATCATAATTTTTTTTGCCAACTTTTTCAATCATAACTTACCAAGTTTTAAACAGCTAATTCAAAATTTTTTATTTTGTTGGATTAATGTCAAATTATATATTATATTCAAATTTCCAATCCCACAAAACTCTAAAATCTCGTTTGATACGAAATATTAAAAATAAGGCATAAAGATTATGATTGTAATTAAAAAAATTATTAAAAAAGTATTTATCATAAGTCATTGCTTATTACATGGGATTAAACATCTCTGTAGAAATATGATTGGGGAGTACCAAGGTATTCTTCAAAATCCAATCCCACGTATATGTATTTATCCAATTCTATATAATAAGTAATCTTTTATACTGAATATTCTTTTACTAGATTTTCTTATTCCTAATTCCGATCCCTACACATAATTTTTATGTTTTGTACCAAACGAAGGGTAATTATAATGTTTTTGTCAATGCAGACACGTCTCTGGGAGCTAAAGTGAAAATATAAAAATAAAAATTCGGGAGGCAAAGCAAATATTACCTGGCACTTCCTGCGCTTAGAAGGTGTGATGAAGAGGGAGGGAATCGAGCTACCTGGGAAGATGCACTACTGGGTTCGAGCTACATCTTCCGATTTTGCTGGAAATCCACCCCAGCCTCGCAGGTTACAATGTTTGTTTTTAATTCGTCTTCTCTCCGTGTGTGTGTGTTTTTGTTTTTTTTTTTTTTTTTTTTTTTTTTAAGTCTGAACTTGAACTCAGTTTTCATCGTTCTCAGTGGTCATTCCGCCGTCAATATCGGCAAATCGAAGGTCGTCGTGTTCGGCGGCCTAGTGGATAAGAAGTTTCTCAGTGACATTGTTGTCTATGATGCTGGTATTCTGTTTTATCCTCCCTTGCATTCTGTTTATTCTTCCTTTCTTTCTTTGTCTATTGCGCCAAGAATTTGCGAACTTTGCAGTTTGCATCGAGTCAAATGGTTTAAACATTGCATGAGGCATTTAAAATTTTGGTGGTTTCCCCCTCGAATCGATGGGTTTCACAATTATTGAGTATGCTGAATTGGCAGCATAAATTACTTCGGCATGTAATTTGGCTGAAAAGTTTGATCTTTCAAATGCTCTATGATCTCCATGCCCTCAAACTTTTAATATCTGATCGGAGTTCCGCATAGTTGACATAAACACAGTCACGCTGGGCGAATGATGATGGGAAATTTGTTGACCTCTGTCACATCTGGTACCTGCTCGTATCGTCTTATTAGTAAAATAGAAAGCATGTTTAGCAACAGTTGGCTATGTCATCGTTTGAGCCATGCTCTGATTGAAGGCAAACATTATAATGATTTACGGATTAGCTGTCAATTTTTTTTTGATGATTTTCATCTGAGCACCAAATTTAGGAGTTTTTAAAGCTGTTTTAGTGGGAAGAATAATGCCCTGCTAGTGTGTCAGCGCCACCTTCTTGGTTCTGCAGATGAACTGCTACCAAAAAGCATACATCTATACGAAAATGAAGCAGAGCATTGAAGTAAACACCATAGGTTGTTTGATACATTCATAAAGATTTATTTTGCCTTGTTTCAAAATTTATTTATTGTTATTTTTTCCAGTGGATTAGGACATGTTGTTTGGCTTCTCCCTTTGAAACACCAGATGAGGTACATATCCTTACCAACTAGGTAATAGTCATGTGCCTCTGTTTGAGTGAAGGGTCCTGATTTGAGTGCCTCTCCATGCATGTTTTTTCCCGTCCCGTACAAGGGAGGAAAAGGAAAAGAAGCTGGTGCAAGAATGACAAACAAGGAACCAAACCACCTAAGCGTTGCTACACATCAATATGAAAAAGGGAACTTATGTTAACTAATGGAATTATGGAAGAGAATTGTCATCCCCCCCCCTCTCCTTGATCTTCTATTTTATTGGGTTTAAGTGCTATGCAAACATTTGTAGATTAAAGTGATGATAACTCTGATAATGATGATTTTAGTATTTTGCTATTTTACTTTTTGTTATTAATTTGTATTGCTTCATCGTTTTCTCGTGGGGTGGTTAGTGTTGAAGATCTTGCGTTTTTGCAGAGTTTTTCTTTCATTTACAGATTTCTCTGATTTTCTTCACATAAACAAACTGGTTTAGTGCCTTGCATCTCAAGGTGGTAGAATAGAAGCCAATTGGTGACCTTTTGCCTTAAACTATTTAGTACAATAAGTTGTAGAGAAGGTGGAAAAATATGTACAAAAAGTCATCATGAAGGGCAGTAAAACACAAGTGGGCGGGAAGGGTTCAAATGATAAATCCATGTTATGGATCAACATTGTGGCATTTAAATAGCTTCACCAACAATTTTACTCATTTAATTTTTCAGAGGCCCAGCAATGGTTTCAACCAGAGTGCACGGGAGGTGGGATGGATGGTCAAGTGGGCCCTAGTCCTCGGGCATTCCATGTAGCAGTTTCTATTGATTGTCACATGTTCATCTTTGGCGGACGGTCTGGGGGCAAAAGGTTTGTGCAGTCCATATGTTTGTTTGGCGTATCTACATACTGTTGTTATTTTGCTTTATATTTCCATAAAATCGGCTTCTCATAGCCACTCAATTCACAGGTTGGGGGACTTTTGGGTCTTGGATACTGGTATGGAATTTTTGTATAATGTTTGAACATTTGTTTTCTGATTACTTATGGTGCTCTAAGAACATGACTTATGAAACATTAACACTGTCCTGTTTTCTTTTTCCTTGGATGTCAATCGACGCTTGGAATAACTGATGCTGTTCCAGACATATGGCAATGGTCTGAACTAACTAGTTTTGGTGACTTACCTTCACCACGAGATTTTGCTGCGGCCTCATCAGTTGGAAACAGAAAAATTGTCATGTGAGACTTATCTTATTTGAATTGACTCTATGCGTTCTTATGTAGGCTTAATCAATATAATGGCTTAGGGCTGATTCAATGTGAAACAGGTATGGTGGATGGGATGGGAAAAAGTGGTTGTCAGATGTATATGTCTTGGACACAAGTATTTTCCTGAAACTTCTTAAATTTATCTCTTGAATAGTAATTTTGCCTATTATATGATCAAAGATATCTAACGTGATCTTATTTCTATGCTAGTATCACTTGAATGGACAGAGCTCTCAGTTATCGGAACATTGCCACCCCCTAGATGTGGACATACTGCCACAATGGTTGAAAAAAGACTGCTTGTTTATGGTGGCAGAGGTGAAGTGGCGTAGGTTCTTTTCATATAGAAACTGAGTTCATTGAATGATTTTTTCTACCCAAGCTATCAATACCTAATCTTTACCTAACTATCAGTCTGGTCTATTTGTCTAGTGTACTTTATCATGTCATTTTTTCCTTATTTTGTTCCACATTACTCGGATGTTTCTTCTGCTTACTCTTTCTGAATTTATTTTGCTGTTAGCAATCTTTAATATCAAAATAGCATGTCCTAGTATTGTCAAAGACTCTCGTCCTTGGTTCTCTCTTGACAGATATTATACAATTCACCCCTTTCTTGACAACTCTCAAACAAGATTCCTGGCATTATAGGTCATTTGATTTGAATAAGTTCAACATATTTAGCTGTTGATGTTGTATCGTTACTTCATATGGGATATCTTCAATGTTATTGCCTGATCATAGTGGTTTTTATCAACCATGATAGGTGGAGGTGGACCAATTATGGGCGATTTGTGGGCATTGAAGGGCCTTATTGAAGAAGGTTTGTAACCCACGTTCACTTTTTTAATACGTGTTATGCATGCTGCTGTTTATTTAGCTATTGCTTGCAAGTTTCAATATGAGATACCTTTTGCCTCTGCTTTGTGATGAGTGATAATCTCTGCTTTTAGATTTTTTTTGTTTTTAAATCTGTTGTGTCACTCTTCTATTTCTTTAGATGCATATCCAGTTTTTCAAGTCTACATCAATACATGATATTAGCTGCTTTCTCCTTTCCTCTTCAAAGACAAGTGAACTGGACAAAACCTATGGTTGTTTTGGGAGGGGAGGGGACGTAGATTGGAGAGAGTGGATAGTTTGCGCACTCCTCCATATTCTGGCCACTGAAATATGATTTGACTACAGTATGACAAAACAGCAAGGTCTTCTATAATGTTGCCTCAATTACAGACTTTTCTTTTTGCATTTCTACCTCAATGTGCAATGAATAATAATTATGATTCTGTTCACAATATTTTGCTCTGGCGGCTATTTTAATCAACTAAAGTACATACTGATTGTTTGTATGTGTTGTGGAAGGAAGAGATTGAAGCACCTGGGTGGACTCAATTAAAGCTTCCAGGTCAAGCACCTTCTCCCCGTTGTGGTCATACAGTAACACCTGGAAGATATAATGTAAACACAATCTCCACAATCCTCCTTATTAGTTTTGCTTAGTCTGTGAATTGCTTTGACTTGTGAATTTGGAATTTTAAGCTGTTCCAATTCTTTCATGAAGTGGAACAGAGAAAAAGGTATTCATAATGCAAAGGAGCTTTGCTAATGCAGTGCCTCCATTGACCAACGAGCAAGTTGACTGTGGTCAGGGATTGTTATGTGATTCAAGAAATATGGGATGTTGTTTCATGCCTGAGGCATGATGTTGCTTATTGTGGTGCTGGTGTGTTGATTATTATATGCTCTTACAAGATTTCCCATGGGTTTGGCTTCTCTTTTCTGTTTTTTTTTTTTTGGGTCTCATTTTTATTTCTTTGTCTTTTCGAATTATTTTACCATCATCCAGTTGTCAAGTATGCCCAATTATGCGTCTTACACTATTTTATTTATTGGCATGTTATCTATATTAGCTGCAATTTTGAATATCAGTATTTAGTCTAAATTTAAATTGAAAAAAATTGCTCCCTTGCATTGATTCATAGCTCTTGTTGTTGCCTTCTTCAAAATGTCTGGTAGTGGTTTCCCCGTCCCAAAAAAAAAAAAAAAGAAAAAGAAAAAAAGAAAATTGTTGTTTTTGCTGAAGATTTAGTGCTATTAGCAGTTTAACTTTGAAATCTTATTCATTTGTTGGCGGGGGTTTGCAGCTCTTGATGTTTGGAGGGCATGGTACTGGTGGTTGGTTGAGTCGATATGATATCTATTATAACGATTGCATTATTTTAGACAGAGGTGAGAACTTACTGTCTTTCTTTATATTCACTGGTTCTCTGTAACCTGCATATGGTTATTTTATAAGGGAGTTTCTAATTTTTTAAAAACTAAAATGGAGTTATATTTGGGATATGCAGATAGATTGAGAGCTTTGCTCCATAATTGAGTCTGCTTGTTTCTGTCCCCCTTTTCTTCTCTCATTGTTTTTTTTTTTTTAAATAAATTTGGATGATACCTTATCTTCCCTCATATTTGTTATTCCGTTATCTTCAATAAGATATCTTCTTTTGTAAAAGGAAAAAATAAATAAAAAGGAAGATGTATTGATCATAATTAATGAGTTTAGAATTATTAGAATGGTTTTGCTCAAGTAACTTAGTTCAACTTAAACCTGATTTATGTGTTTCTCATAAAAAACATTTAGTTGGGGAGATTGCTAATGATTTATATGACCTAGGTCAGCTGCATGGGGAGTCTTTTGCTTATTTGTAGCTGGGGTTAAGGTGCAACTTTGCCCTTGGAGTTTTAGTTCAGGAGCATTGCGCACTTGGAAGCTTTGTCTCGAAAGTTTAAAATCGCTGCAATGTTGCCCCCTTTAGAAGCTTGTGTCTGTTAATGACCGTTAACATTAACAGCAAATGTCTGTCCTTTCATCTCATAGGGGTCTAGGATTCATACCTTTTTTGGATAATTTGTGTTATTAATTTTAAGGAAATTTTATGTTGTCCTTCTAACTCTTGTAACACTACTATAGAGATGTCAGGAGAAGTGAATGAATTTCATGTTTATCTGGCCAGAATATCCTAAGATTATAACACCATGAATCACCAACCATTGGCTAGTTATGGATGTTATGCCATATTGCCATTGGCCTCTTGATGATACTTCATGAAACATTTTGTTTGTAGGTTCCTTGAAAGTAGTATCTATTTTGATTTGGGATTATTTATCATTCTTTCAAAGAAGCAATTGAGCCAATGTAGCAAAATGACTTTGAAAAATGTAACATACTGCTGATGTTCAATTCTGTTTTACTTGTTCTGATGAGGCAAATGTGTCGAGACTGTTCTTCTGATGCATGATATTTGACTGAAATTATATACAGCTGCCTTCATTATGATAACATCGTAACATAAACACACAATTGAGGTTCTTCTGAATTGATTTAAGCAGCAATGGAACTGTAACCCGGTATATCATCTCAATTTATTTTATCTATCTGTTGCATGCAGTTTCAGCACAATGGAAGCGCTTACCTACAGGCAATGAACCCCCGCCTGCTCGAGCATATCATTCTATGACAGTTATTGGTTCACGGTACATGTTGTTTGGTGGTTTTGATGGAAAATCAACATATGGTGATATATGGTGGTTGGTTCCACAAGGTAAATATCGTTATTTCTGGTTTCAAAGTATCTATATTTGTAGGTTGTTTTGGTCAACAATATCTTTATTCATAGTTAAATTTCCATTTTACTTCAGTTTTTCTTTGATATGTCTGAAAGAGCAGATGTTTGATTAACTTATTTCTTTGTTCAACCTCTTGAGCATATTGAAATTAGTAAAAGAGCCTTTCAAGATTTATTTAACTATTAAAAATAAGGAGGTTTGAATTTGGTCTGGGGTCCGAAATTTTTCTTAGCTGTAATGATATGATTTCATGCAAAGGGATCTTGTTCTCTGCCAATTCTCCTCTAACACTTTTTTGCCTGTTCCTCAGAGGATCCCATTACTAAGAGATTAGCTGCATCTCCACTCAATAATGTTCCTGAAAGTAAGGATTCTGCCTCAGCAAATGATGATTTTCAATCTTCACTGAAGGTATAAATCAACTGCACTAAGGTGGTGAAGATTCTTGGTAGTTGTTTTGGAATTCAGAAATTCGTGCATGTATGGGCAAAAGTCTGAACACATCCTAACATTTATCCCCTTTTGTTATCATGGGTTTATCGTTGTGGCTTTACTAGTTCAATACTGTTACTTTTGTCAGAAAAGTCAAGCAGAGAAATCTCTTGTCTCAGAATTGCAAAAACGATTGGAGATAACAGTTTCAATGTCCAGTTCTAGGCTTCCTATTGTGGATGAGCTGGAAGATAAAGAACTGCTTGAATTGGCATCAAGTTTAGCTGGAGAACAAGTTTCTAGCAATTTACAGGTGGGATACATTTTTTCACAAATATGCTGTGTTGTGGTATTCATTCTGATTGAGACTGTTTTTCTTGCTAATAATAGGCAGTTGAAGCACTACGTGACCGCTGGAAGAAGTCTGTACCAAATTCAGTTAAACTTACAGAGCTTGGACCTTTGCTTCGAGATTATCAACGTCTGATTTACCGACACCATCTGTAAGAATTAGTCTTGTACCCTTTGCTGTCCTCTGTTTCTTTAATGTTGACATCTGTCATACAGGTGTAATATTTGTTTCAAAATTGAAAGCTTGATGAACTGTTTTTCGTCAACAAGCTCAGTTCTTGACATCTTTTAACTTTGCATGCGTGTTTCACTATTATTGTTTACTTTATTTTCACCATCCTCCTTGTTTGATTTTGCAACTCGATATACTTCGTGAAGGCTGTTGTGTAACATTTACTGAAATTCTTGGATTATTGATTATAGGCCGTTTCTGTTCACTCAGTTGGTCTTTTCAGACAGTGAAACGTAAGATATCTATGTAGAGGGTTGTAGTAGCTGTCCACAGAATAAAAGCAGAAGCTATGTCATCTTGTGGTATAACTGTCTGTATCAATTGATAATTGACCATCTATATGGCTTAGATTTGATGCCATTTTGGTGAAGTTGTTGGCTGTTTATGGACATAAACTGTGTAGGTTGGCAGCCATAGCCAAGATATACTGCTTTTAATTAAAGGAGGCTGTAGTGCATGATATAATAGGCTCAACCAACTTGAAGTTGCAATGTGGTAAATAGTGTTAATTTTGTTAAGAGATATCTATGCCTCCGCCTCCAGCGAGGCATTGGATTTGTGAAGATGCTTGTTTTATATCTGACCTAAAAGGATACCTTATTTGACAATGAAAAGGAATGGTAAATGTGATTGTCAAAGTTTACTAGGGGTCAAACGCTCCCTAAGCCATGGGAATATGTTATTCTTTATTTTAATTGCATCGGGAGTTTGTCATTTTATTAAAAAATTGTTCCTAATTTTATTGGCATCCCCTTGATGGTCACTAATTAAACTTCTCAGTAACTCGTAATTATTTTTAAATATGAAATTCTCCTGATCTAGGAAATTGGAATGAGTCTAACACATTCTTCTGGTTATCTTGTATTCTAGGATTTCAATATTGCCTTCTCATTTATTTTTATTTTTCATATAAAAGAAAATGCAGGGCTTGAATAGACTTCTATTTCTAGTGAACTTAATTTACATCAGTAAATCATTTTGATGTCCTTAAACATACGACTGTTTCTCGTGCAATAAAGTTTGAAATAAAATACTTTCACTTATTAAAAATTCTATTAATCCAGTTCATGGATGTTTTGCTTTTCCTTTTAACTTGATGGACGGAGGTTTTTATAATTGTATCTTTTCCTGATGTTGCTTATGCTTGTAACTCAAATAGAGAAAGCAGTGGATCTGATCTACAACCTGGGCTAGATGGGCATACGACTTATCAATTTTATCATATCAAAGATGCTTCTCAGGTATGCTTTTCAGGTTATGGCCATTTCTTCTTTTACTTGATCTTTCGTTTTCCCTTTACATCTTTTTCTTTTTGAAATTCGGAAACTTGGTTTCATTGTCTCCTTTTTATCACATTGCAGCTACGCATGGATGATGTTCCAAAACTCTTGGAAGGTTACAAGCAACTACCTCTTTGAACTTAATTTGTCTGATGAATATTAGTCTTCTTGTTTTTTTTTTAATTTAAAAATGTAAGAGATGGTTCTCAGACAACCATTAAAATATCACAGCAAGTTTTGGTATAGTTTATTAGTGAATCTGAATATCAGCTTTTGTTAAGACCTCGCCTTAGGTTGTCAAGACCTGACTATGTGTCAAGGATGTAATTTTACATACTCCTGTGGTCCTAAGTATGGAAGCTAGGGGGCTTTGTTTTGATTCACTTTATCTTTTAAATTTATAATTTGTTCTCCAAATTATTCCTATTAATTGCATTTGTTAAAGGGGTTTCTATTAGTGCAGCTTCTAATGCAAATTATTAAAGAGGTATTTTAGAAAATCAACATATATTTATTATAAATAATTAACTAATCTTTTAATCTGTACAAGTCAGTTTGTTAGCTTCTAAATTTAAGACAGAAGGAGTATCTTTGTTTCAATTTGGAGAAATTCAGATGACAAGATGGATCCTGTCGCCTGCCAAATAGTGGTGCCGGGTTCAAGTTAGGTTGAGAGCATTTTATTAAAAATAAAATAAAAAACAAAGATAATATGAATAATATAATTTTATGATTGTAGTTGAGCACCGCAGGGAGGGTGCATTTTAACCATGAGATTTGGCCTAATTAAAGGATCAGCTTTGCTGATTGATTTAAAATTATGATGCGTATGAAAAGGATTCCGGCAATACTTAACTTCTCTTTGGTTGACATCTTAAAAGAAAATTCTTGAACAATATAAACGCAAGTAAACGTATACAAGCAACAAAGTGGAAAAATGGATCAAGCTACATTTTTTTTCTTGGCCAAAAAATAGATGAAGCTAATCAATAAACTTAGCGGCTGCCACTGTAACTTTTGTTTCAATTCATGGATTCTATAGTCCTGCTCAGCTCCTCCAGCTTCGTCATCCTTATTCTTTCACTCTCAGTCAATAGCTAACAATAAATTAGCAGATAAAGTCACAATAAATAAATAAAATTGAAGAAATTGAATTGGAATGATCATTATGAGGTCTCAAGGAGAGAATATAATTATAAAAAAGTCCGACAACAAGTGAGGAGTACGGGTTTGTTGTCATTTCATATATCAGAAGTTGTTATTGAATGTTGTTCACTTGTTACGAGACTTTTTGGAGACTATATTCATTCTTTAGGATCTTATAATTTTTTGCATAGAATTTCAATATATTGAATGTATTGTACCTCCATTAATGCTGTAATCAGATGACCTCTCTCTTTATTCTTCTCGTTGAAAGCTTCCAAGGCTTCTCTATACTCTTTCTCCTATCATTCAATTTCAAAATTCAGATTCCCTTTTGATCGTTCTTCATTTTCTGACCAACAAATTCTTAAAAATAAAAAAAAAAATTTTTGCTCATAAATTTTTGTACCTTTTTCTGGCAACTCTGTCCTAGTGGCTTCAAATCTTTGTTAGCCATATCGATTTTCTTTCGTACCATTGCTACTTCCTTTCTCAGGGGATCTTCCAACACTTCAAGCTCCTTCAAGATTGAAAGAAACAAACAAGAATCTTCATTATGATCTCTTAATATAAGCCTTTTTGCATAAAATATTCATGAACAGCATGCAAGTTTTGTCTTAGTTATAATATATGTGTGGGAGTCAGATAATGAAACTTACTTCCCAAATATGTGCTAAGCGCTTTGTCTCTTCTTCAGCACGACCAAGTTGTCGTTCAACTTTCTCTCTAACCTCCATCTTCCTTCTCTCTATCTCTTCTTCTTTAGCTTGAAATGTAGAAATGGCCAACTTTGATATCTGCTCATCCTCATAATCTTCTATTGATAGCCTCCCACTGCTTCCAATACTATTCCCAATGTTCTTCATCTTCTAATTAAATCCCCCTCCCTCTCTCTCTGCAAAACTAGCTCCTCAGAACTCTTCTTCTCTGGTTTTTATGTCTCAGCAGGTTGGCACTTTGTTTTCCCTTTACTTCAAAACTAGCCTTCTCTCTTGACTTCTGGAAGCAGCAAAGAGAATACCCTCCTTTTTAGTGGAAGTTTTGAAATGCATTCAAGAGGATCTCACTAATATCTCAGCGCTGAATGTTTCACCTGAGAATCTGAAACTAATCTTCTGAGATTGAATTTGCAGAAAAAAAAGGTGAGGTTTTTATAAGGCATGCCATTGGATATATACACTTTATGACATACCCTTTTGCTTTTCTTAGGAGTGACTTCTACTCTTCAATCCTGAGTTAGCTGTAATGGACACAGAATAATGAAGTGGCTACATATGACTTAATATTGAAGTTGTTCCTTTACGCAAAAGGATATTCTGATTTAGGCAACAATTGTTACTTACTTTTCATCTTTATGCCAAGTCAACCTTAGAAATTACATAATCCTATTTTATTACATTCATTATCACGAACACTCCAACAACTTGAGTTCAAGCAGGTTTTTTGGGCATGTGTAAGGTCTACTACTTTACCATTATCAATATCATTCTGCAGAATAAAAGAATTTCTTCATGTATTATACAAAGAAGCTTCTGTTAAACTTTTTTTTCTTATAAAGTTTGGTGGTATCACTTTTACGTGCTTATATATCTGCTTTCATGTAATATATTCCCATTGATTCATTCATCTTTGTTCATAAATTTAGTGTGTGTTCATTTTTTATTTTGTCAAAAGTCTGTTCATCAGAAGTTCACGTTTTATCGAAACTGAATTTTAGTAAAAGTTATAGTAATAGTACATAATTGACGTTTGAATGCATATTTTAAGAAATCAGTTTAATAAATTGAAACTTGTTTAGATAAATGTTTCATGTTGAAGAATGAGTACTATTTTTTTTTTAAATATTAGTTAAACAAAAAGCCAAAAGTAAGGCAAAGTAACTTCTAGCAAATGAAATTGATTTTTACACTAAAGAAAAAGTGGAGCTTCGAGACAACTTTTAGTAAGCCAGAACAAATTAACCCCCTTAGAAAGAGATGCGTTCAAAGGACCTTCATATGTGAAATGACCAAATTTTCTTTACTGCTGACAAAGTGCCATGGTAACTATTCTCTAATATTGTGTGATTTTTGATCCAATATTGTGTTATTTTAAGTCTCGCGTTGAAGTTATTAGTATAGGCATATGAGATATCACTTCTTGTTTTTAATACAAAATCCAGTTAACTAATTTAAAGACATTAATAAAAAGGAGAATTACAATCAAGTCCCACATAAGAGAAATGATTACTAAAAGGTCCCAATAATAACCTCAACAGTTTATAATGACAAATCCTATAGTGAGAATGACAACTTCTGGGACTCGTTTTTCAGTTATTTTTCTTATTTGGGATCTCATTGTAATTCTCCCTTGATAAAATTACTAAATTATTTTAAAGTGTTTATATTTATCGTTCTTATCTAAACTAATTTGCCTTATTTATAAATTGATATATAATTTAATGATGTATATAAGTATTTTATAGAGATCATATAATATATGCTATAATTAAGTACTACGTCTAGTTCTTAATATAGGAGCTAATTTGACTTTGAATTTGGACTTAAATATAATAATCTAATCAATTTTGTTTCTCATATTTATCTATTTTTTTAAAGTAGTCATTGCAGAAGTTGCTCATGTTAAATGTTCAATCAGATGACAGTCTTAACTAATACATGATTAGCAAAGGTATTTTACAGAAGACAACACCTAATTATCACAACTAACTAACTCAACAAACTTTTTTAATTTACTCAAATTAATCAACTAGTTTTTATATTAAAAACCGGAAGTAATAATTTAGTAACTTTTTTAAATTTCTCTAAATTAGTATATTCGATCTTATATTAAGGCCGGAAGTCATATAAACAAGATTATTTTCTTTGCTCACATCACCAGAGAAATTTAAACTTGTGATGTTCTGTAAGTTACTTAAATGCTTCTCTATTAAATCGTTCTTAATGATTTGTTCCCGTTTTTTCTTTTACACGTATTAAAATGCCCACTTTACAACTATTAATTTGCATAGCTAGAGATATGTGATTATAAGAGATTCTACTTAAACATTCTTTTTTCTTTCCATTAGAACATTAGATGAAATCAAATCATCTTTACATCATATAACGACAAGAACTTAATTAGTAAGTAAAATTAATCTTACTATTTTTTTTTTGGGATTTTGTGGAATACTAAAGAGAGTTTCTAACTTGGAGCGAATATCTCTTTCTTTGATAGGCAAAGCCACCTTGTTTAAACAATTCTAGTTGTCACTTTTGAATCATCCATTAATGGAATTTTACCATAATTTATATGGTTAACCTTTAATTCCCATTCAGTTTACTAGTATAACTATTAGCCAGCAAAATAGGACCAAAAATATAAAAAATGAAGAAAAATGATGCATATGATACTATCTCTCTCTCTCTCTCTCTCTATATATATATATATATATATATATATATATTTTGGTTAAGCTTCTCACTCTCTTTTTCATTGCTTTTCTCTTACTTTATGAAAATTACAAATTACTATCTCTGATTTTTAATATAAGAGCTAATTTAATTTTTAATTTGATTCTAAATATAAGACATAAATTATTTTGTTTTTCATATTTATTCATTCTTCTCCAAAGTAGTCCTTGTAGTAGTTACACATGTTAAATATTTTATTAAATATTAAAGCTAATACACTTGATTAGGAAAGATATTTTAGAAAAGACAACATCTATTTATTACAAATAATTTTAACAAACTTTTTTAATCTACTTAAATTTGTCAACTAACTCTTATATTACAGATCGAGAGTAGTATTTAAGAAGATTTAAATATACTCTGAAACCTTGACGTTTAGATTTGGACATTCCATATCTAAGAAGTTGTGAAAGACTAATTCCATATCTAAGAAGTTGTGAAAGACTAACTCTGGTCCTTATTATAGAATTTTGTTTTTAGACTATAAATAAAATCTTATAATTAGGACCGAAAATAGTGCAATTTTTGAAATAAAGGAGATTTAAAAATATCAATAAAAAAATAAATTAAAAATCTATAAAAAAAACTATAATTAAGTATCCATTATTGAAACGAATCTGTCATTTCAACACAATTTGTGACAATGGGAAAGTGATCCAAAAGCTTTAGATACGTTTGGTACGGGGAAAATTAGAAAAAAGAGAGAAAAATTTTTAATGAACTCAATCTAAAAAATAAAAAAATAGGATTAAAAAATTTAAATTAATTTGCTTGCTGTTTTATCTTATATATTTTTTTTTATCAAAATTTTATAATTTAGTTTTTCTAATTTTTAAGTCGAGCTTATTAAAAAAATTTTCCCTTCAATTTCCTCATACCAAAATTAATCTTTTCCCCTCATTTCCGTTATGGGAGCATTTATTTGCCACCTATGCATTGCCGTAGGATTGATCTTCAATGATTTAAAGTTGAAAGGCTCAATTAGAAATAAGTGAAAAGTATTGGGGCAAAGAAAGGTTAATTTCCCTAAAATATGCAAACAGTTAAACACAATTTCTTGTTTGCATTGCCCGTGTAGATAGGAGTGGGATGGCAAAGGCGGGTCGTCCAACTAAAATAAACCAATAAAACTGCTTTTACGTGAAAGAAATAATTTATTGGAAGCCCACCTTATGGCGCACAGATGATCAATCCGGTTCGGATGATCTCGAAGAAGAAACACTAAATCGTATGCTACTTTTCAGTCCGCTTCAGCAAAGATCATTCATCAGCGGCGACACTCTCTCTTGCAATCTCTCACTATCCTCTTGATTCGCCGAACACTGTTTCCTTGCTTGATTTAACTCTGCGAATTGTTCACGCTTTTCATCTGATCACCATGTGGAAGCTTACTGCTTCTTCCGAAAAGGTTTGAGAAATCTTGTTGATAGCTCGCTCTTTCATCTTTTTCCATGCATCACTGCTCTTGAATTTTCATTGATCTGTGTTTGCTAACGGATCCTTCAAGAACCTTGCTAGGGTTAGGGTTCGGGGATTGGGGTTGACCCTGTAATTCTGTTGCGGTGGTTGAAATTTTTGGATCGATTCGATTGATGGGACTTTTGTAATCTCCGTTGGATTTAAGAAATTGGGGGAAAAATTAAAAATTTAGGGTTTAAGGTTTATCTTTGTTTAGTGAGCTCACGATGCAATCTAGACGGCGTCAAGATCATATTACAGTATCTCCAACATCACGTGCTCAGCACCGCCTTGAACCGGGTTCTCACTCATATCGAAGACCTCGCCGTGATGGGTTGGATCGGGAGATCGGGCGTGAGAGGAACTTGAGTCCTCATAAGATAAATGAGCTGCGACGAGGTGCGGGTGCAAACAAAGGGGGTGATGATTTTGAGAGGAGGGATCATGACTGGCATTTGGGAGATCGTAGGAGCAGCCAGGCCAACTCCAGATCGCCTCCTATTGAACAAACGAGAAAAAGGCCACTTTTTGATGATGGGGTTAGGCGTAGAAGTTGTTCCCCGTCTCTGGGGATGAGACCAAGATATGAAATGGCCAAAACCACGGAATACTATGTTGATGGTGAAAATTTGGATACAAAGCATGTATATGGATATGACCATGATAACTCCACGGTTAATAGAGAGAAGGATTTAACTGATAGCAGATTAGGTGGTGGAACAGGCATGCTGGACCCTAAGTTGATGGTACATGAAAGTGAAGCACGAGGACCTTATGGGCCAATTCCTGATACAGGTCTAACATCTCAATATAAAGAAACTGACGGGCACTTGCCTCTATTGTCAAGGGGTGTAGATATGCAGAGACTTGAGTATGAGCGACTGCAGCATCGTGATTCACTATGTTCAGATAAGATGCCTGTTGCTGAATCTTACAAACGTGTAGAAAAGCCTATATTACATGCAACAGAAGTATCACGCCCATCAATATCACCTTCTTATATGAAGGATTATGTGAGTACTTCTCAGTTGAGGGATCATGGAAGCTCCTCTATAGGAATGCCAAGGAGTGATATATTATGTTCTCATCATGATGGCAACCATTTACCTGCATATTATGAACTGCCAAGGAGCAGCGGAAAACTCCCTGAACCTGTAGGGTATAGTGGATATGGACAAAGGCCCCTTATGGATAGTGCTAGAGATGCAGAACCTGGGCAGAGGAATGTTGGTCAGCAACGATGTGCTTTTAGTTCCACTAGGACTGAACAAGGAGAGTATCTTACTTCCAAATTACGGGTAGGTGCACAGGGTGATCGTGGGTATAAGTATGATGATTTCCATAGAAGGGTAACTCACCATGGACGCTTAGATTATGAGGAAGCTCAAATGGAATATGATAATAGAGAGTTGCCACCCTTTATTGTGAATCCTGTTCTAGATAGAAGTGGTCAAGGTGAAGAACATTTTGGTAATCACAGGAGAGGTTCTATAAATGACCATCCTGCATTACAAAAACAAAAGTACGTTGACTACCATGATATAGCCAGAACATCAATTGCATCAAAGCAAAGTGAGGATTGTTTGAATTCTGGTTATAATCATTTTGAAAGTGACAAGAGAATGCCACGAGAGTATGAAGCTTCATATCTGGCTGTATCTGAGGCTGAACGATCATCAATATTAAGATTGGAATATGAGTCGCAAAGAAATAGAGGTCCAGGTCTTCAGCAAGAAAGGTTAAATAATCCTTTGACTAAACATGATTCAGAAGCCCACAGACATGCTGCTAGAGTGCATGATATGAAACAGGGTCTTGGCATTCATGATCATTCAGACAGACAGTTGAAGAGAAAATACAATGCAGATGATGGTATGTATCTGAGTGATTCGAGAACCATAAAATCATATGATTGGGATTCACTGGAAGAATATCAAGATCCTTATGAGGATGAAGATTGGATAGACGATGAAGAAATGAATGTAATGCATTCATCTTATAATGTTCGACTTGACCATAAGTTCTATGGAAAGGACACAAGAGAATACAATGAATTGGGCATGGTAGAAGATTTCCCTCCTGATGACTGGTTACCATCTCAGCATTCTGTGGGACATTTGCAGCGGCATACATTTCGATTTCGTAAGTATTCCAATCAAAATGTAAAGAGTCATCCAAGATTTAATTCTTCAAGCTGGAATAAGCCCCAGCATTTCTCTAAAAGAAATGCATTTCATAAACAACCTAAAGTTTGGAAAAAATATCATGGTTATGATGAGAATGTGCGTACAACTAATGATGAGTTATCTGAGGATTTGACAAGTGCAACAGAATCTGAGCCAACAGAAGGCTCTGAGGAGTTTAATCAAAAGGTACAAGAAGCTTTCCTAATGTACTCCAAGAGGTTGAATGTGAACTCATCTGTTCAAAGGAGGTACAAAGAGCAAGGAAAAGCTGGTAGTTTGTTCTGCATCGTATGTGGTAGAAGGTCTGTTTTCTTTTCCACGCTGCTCTTTTTGTAAATGGAGCACTTCTGTTCACATATTGAATCAGGCGTTCTTTGGTATTTAACTTACAGGTGCAGTCAAGTATACATGCTATAATTTCTTATGACTATGCTTTGGCCCTTAGATGATAGGTTTCCCTAACTTTGAAGTATAACATGCTGCAATGTGATTCTTCTGTTTTTTAAGGTGGACACCCTGATGGATTTCTCGCATCAATTTTATCCTATGTCAATAGGATAAAATATTTGGTAAATAGCTACGTGGATGGACATGAGTTGTGAAGCTAGTGGCAGTGATGTCTGCTTATGAATGATGATGGAAGTTACTTGTATGTTGCCTGCTGTACTGTATAGCTTTTATATTGAGAATTTAGGGTAGGAGTTGTTGTTAGAGTTGATATCTAGTTGTATTGCCATGCAAAATGAGATGCCAAATAGCAATGTTGGCCTTTAGATGATTATAGCAAAGTAATACTGAGGAAGGAAAAGAAGGCAGTAAGGATAAGTTTTAACATATGCAAAAGAATTTTTTCAGAAGGAAAAATATGTAAAGGAGGATATGGTATCCTCTTAGTTAAAAAAGGACAAGGAGAAAATAAAAGAATCATGAAAATAACATTGTCCTCTAATTGCTTCACATATCTGATAAGGACACCCCTTAAAAAGTAACCAAGCAAAGACCACCAAAGGGGAGTGTAAAACACTATCCAAATCCACCACCAGCTTTGGTGACACCAAAACTTCATTAAATATGCGTGCATTCCTCTCCAACCAAATATACCATGTCCACTGCAGAGGCTGCATGCAACCTCAAGGCTTTGCCTTCCCTCATTGCTACTATAACACAAGTGTCTTTTCTGGGGAAACTGCTATGAGGTCAAAGCACACACCTTGCTTACGTAAAGGGAAAAGTAAAGTTCTTAAATGTTATTGAGAACACAAGTGTCTTTTCTGGGGAAACTGCAATGAGGTCAAAGCACACACCTTGCTTACGTAAAGGGAATAGTGAAGTTCTTAAATGTTATTGAGATATTTCCCTCAATTTCCTTAGCGTTTGGTGTTTGCCCTTCTATTTTGTTTCTCTGTTGGATTTGCCATGAGCTTGCTGAGTTTCCCAGTAAGGATGGTAGTAAATTTCTGTATGTGGTCGTGGAATGTATACAAGGATCAGGGTGCCATCAACCTTTTAGGCTAGATTGTACCGCACCATATGTTGCAGAAGGTCTGCTTTCTTTCTCTGTGATTCTTTTTGTCAATGGACACTTTTGTTCACATGTCAAATCAGGATCGATGGGGCACTAAACGTGCAGGTTCAGTCAAGTAGCTATGTTTTAATTATTTTCATTATGGTTTGGAGCTTAGGTGATAGATTTTATATAACTTTGAAGCAATATGTGTTTTTGTTGCGTTAGCTGTTTTTATGTTGAGTTGGAGGCTTAGGTGTTTTATTGGCGTCTGTGCCAATCCACGCCACTAGGATAAAAAATTTTATGAGCTGCTGTACTGACAGCATGCATTAAAGCTAATTTAGATGTGTTGTCTTTTTTTTTGTTATTGCATACTTTTGGCTTTTAACAAATTGTGAAACATATAATATTCTAGTTAATTGCTTAGCTTCAGGTAACTACAGCTTTACAAAGATCTGGATTGATTCTATTTTGGAAGGAAGAGAACACAGAAAGGATATTTGAGAAAAATTAAGTTCTTATTTTGTTTATCTGGAAAGAAATATCAATAACAAAATAACTGAACTCCCAAAGTTCATTTTGACACAGTCTTTAGTAATTATTGTATTTTCCTTCATAGGGAATCCTTGGACTTGCTCTTTTTTTTAAAAATAAAAAAAGCAGTAGTTGTTATATGCTTGTGAAGTTGAGACTGCCATCAGGATTTTATCTTGTTGAACTGAAGTTAATGGTTATGCTCCTGAGCTTTTTAATGGAGTGACATTGCATGTAATTGTCAATGTTTTAAAGTCGTAACTTGTATATATTTTATTTTATTTTTCTTTTTATTTCAGTTCCTCAAAGGAGTTCTTGGACACACAACGCCTCGTAACTCATGCCTTTATGTCCCATAAGGCTGGGTTGAGAATAGAGCACTTGGGTCTTCATAAAGCAATTTGTGTTCTGTTGGGATGGGATACTGTTGTTCCTCAAGACACAGTGACCTGGGTTCCCCAGGTTTTGCCTAATGCTGAAGCTCTGGCACAGAAGGAAGATTTAATTCTCTGGCCTCCTGTCGTTATCATCCATAATGTATCAATGTCTGATGACAACCCGCAAAAATGGAAGGTGGTAAGCATGGAAACAGTTGAGGCTTTCGTTAGAGGTGAGAGCTTTCCTTGGAATTTTTTTTACTTGGGTGGTTGAAAAAGGAAGAAACAAAACTAGTTGGAAAATCAATTTTCTGTTTCCCCCCTCATTTTCCACCCTTTCTGTAAAAGGATTTCATCTCTTTCCTTATCATCATATGTCGTGTAAATTCAGTTAATCTTGAAGATCTTGCGCTATTGCCTGGTCCTACGAAAGAAACTTTTATTCCTCACTGGAACCTCTATTAAAGATATGTTATCTTGTGAAAACTGCATTTTGAGCTTATCTTTAATTCATTGAAATTTGCAGGTAAAGGTTTTGTAAGGGGAAGAATCAAGGTATGCTTAGGGAAGCCTGCGGACCAAAGTGTTATTTTGGTGAAGTTCTTGGGTACTTTTGTTGGGCTGGGAGATGCAGAGAGGCTTAATAAATATCTTTCTGATTGCAAACGTGGAAGACTGGAATTTGAGAGAATAAAATCTAAAACTAGCAGATGCAGTGTTCTTGATGAAAAGGAAATACAGGGTGACAAAATGGAGGGCATTCTGTATGGTTATATAGGAATTGCCGAGGACTTGGATAAATTAGATTTTAATTCTAAGAAACGATGTATCATTAAGAGCAGAAAGGAGATTGAGCAGCTAGACAAGGATCCTGTCAAAGCCAATGAGAGGCGGTAGTTCGAGGTTAGCTCAAAGCTCTTACTGGGAATTTCATTTCCCTGGAAGTAAGAAAGTGGATGTGGTGTGCTAATTTCAGATTTAATTTGCCCTGTGCTTCTTTCAGTTGTTCTGTGTATGGATCAGTAAATTGGAATTTCACGAATCAATAGTACTTTGTCTTTTATGTGTTTAGTAATTTCCTATGTTCCAACAAAATCAAGCATCAAAAGCTTTCTTTACAATCTCATGCTTGTGTAGGTGGCAATGTATGCTATGATTTGAAAATTGAGGTAGTAGCTAATTGCCCTTCGTGATGGAAAATAATATTAAAAATCGATGCCATGAGAACTGGATCGGACTAACCGGTTGGATTGGGAACAGGTCACATGTCTGGTCTAGGCTAACAAACCGGATAGAGGCCCCGTTTGCTTTGCCATCACGTTTGAGGTTTTTTATAAGCACGTTTTAAGTAAATTGAGATAAAATTTTTTCACATATTTATCTCACATTCTATAAATCACGATTGAAAAGTTATTTGGTCTGTCAGGTTCAACATTTAAAATTTATATTTAAAATTACACTTAATTAATGTTTCTAAGCTAAAACTTATTCATACTTGTATATTTTAAGCATTGAAAAATGGAAAAAAAAATGTACAGGCAATTTGTGTGTATTCTGAGGTTATAAATGATCAAATAAGTACGTGTATTTTGGATGAGTGACTAATATTGCCTCTTTTACTATACATGACTTTTTTGGGTTTTAATATTTATTTTTATTATTACAAATGATCATTCCTTTTATTTTAAGCCTATATTATTTGCTTCTAAATGCGTTCCCAAGGTTGCGTCCTAGCTGTTGAGAGGACTTTGGAAGAATTTATCGAGCACCATCATTCTTTCTCCGAAGCAAAATATTTCTTATCTTTTTCAATTTTGAATATAAGAGTTAACAAAGATTTTCTTTCCGCTGCCTGTCTTGGTTCTAAATGTTATACTTCAATATATTTTGTCTGCCACATTTATAATTTTTTTGCCTAAACTTTATATATTAATCGCACATATTAGGGGGATTTCCTACCAAGGGAGTAGATTCTAATGTAAATGATTAAAATGATATTTCCAACATATTATAGGATTAGAGGGAGTAATAAATTGGAATTAGTATAAATTAAACTAATTTACAAGTAATTTTCTTAATATTTGTAAATTAGTCATTTAGTTCCTACATTTAGATCAAACAGAGTGATAAATTGGAATCAGTATAAACCACCTGTTACAGCATATGATAGAAGAATTTCTTAATTAAACATCACAAGTCAAATTGGAGAATGAATTAGTAACCGAAAATTAATGAACATTCTATATACTGCTGAAAAAAAAAAAGCTATCCGTATATGGTATTTGTTCTAGCAGTAGCCGGTATACAGCTATCTGGGGAAAAAAATCTTTCATGTCCACTTCTCATATTCATTAGCATTCCTTACCTTGTTTGGAAATTAAGGAACTTGATGCCATATGCAAATACAAAGACGAACAGAACAGCAAAGGCAATATGAGCAGCAGCAGCAACTCCAAGGAAACCATATTCATAGCCCATCTGCTTCTTAAGATAGTCTTTTAATGATATTGGTGTTGATCCAGGAACCTCTACGAAATTGTTTTTGTCACCAATTTGGGAAGTCACAATGCCATATGTAGTCCAAGCTGTTGGGCTTAACCAATAATACCACCTCCACCATATGGGAATTAGCTGCAAACACGAAAAGCTGGGCCAATTAGATTGATGCTAGATAGCCAAGAAGGTGAATAAATAATTTCCCAAGATACAACAAGATCAAAACTATTTACCCAATTACTATGAACTATTCACCCAAGTACTATAAAATTTGGATCTCAGTCTGACACAGACTAAAGGGCGGCTCAGTGCATAGGATCCCATCAGATTGGTTCTAGGAAGGGACAAATGGATGCAGTTTTATCCCCACCCACTGTTTCCAAAATTAGAACCCGTGATCTCCAGGTCACATGGCGACAACTTTCTATAAGAAAATAAGAAAATAACAACTGCAAGTGATGGGCTGCAGGTAGCTTGCCACACCTTGCACCTTTCCTAGACTAAGTTGTGTACTTCTAATGGAAAGTATTTTTGGATCTCAGTTTGATAGAGATGAGATCTAAATTTGTGATATTTGGGCACATAGTTTTGAACTTTTGATCTTCTAGTATCTTGGGAATGATGTTTTTTGGGAGCATCACGGTCAAATTGCCCAAGCAGGCAAATGTTACAGAATAGTACATCTTATCGCCTATATTTGAGTCACCCTAACTAATAATTATAACATAATCTAAGGCTTTGGTCAACAAACTAGAGAGAGTCGGTAGATTCAATCTATACAAGAGTTATTGTATCATATGGGCAATTTTACATGAATATCCACGTTATCATGATTAGACAAACTTATATTGTAACAGCTGATATTCTGTTTATGAACTGTGGACTGGAATATTTGTCTCCATAAGAAATGTGTACTCAAAGTATTATGATAAGAGAATTATAAAAATTGAATGGTAAGCACTATGCATACCCTCCTTGGGATAATGAAACCAGTGAAGAGGTTCCATAAGGAGAGAAAGAAGGACATAATGATTGCAGCAACTTGGGGGTTAGGTGTGAGAGCGACTGTCATCATCCCATAAAGCGTGTAGTAGACAAAGCACATGAAGAGAAAGTAGTAGAAGAACATGAACTTGTCAACTTGCCAGCTGAACCCCATCATTGAGAAAAGTATAAGGCTATACAAAAGCGTTTGGATTGCTACATAAATCATCTCAACTGCTACCTGCAGTGAAATTTTAGACCCAAGAGTAAGATCCCACGTGTCAAATCACCATAGTTCTCGAAACTTGAAAAACAGATCATGCTTCTATTTTATCTTTCCAGAGTTATCTTAATGATATAATGATCACTGAGAGCAAAATGTTTCATGGGATTGGAACAAAATCAAACTTTTGAATAGTGATGTGGTACAATCTGAGGGAGGTGCTACTGAAGTCATTGAGGACCAAAATGGGGTTTTACTGGATTCTAAACTGATTTTTCCCTCTTTGCAGTAAAAGGATCAGCTAGATTTACCTGAGCAAATGCATAAGGAATAGCTGAGTACATTCCAGCTGCTCTTTCACGGTAGAAAGCTGTTCTTTCTATAGCAACAACAGGTTGGACAGAGGAAGTGTTATAGGCTCCAAGGAAGAAAATAGCAGAATATATAGCACCAATGAGATTGAACAATTCTTGTTCCTTTTGTCTGCAGACACAATATTTGATCCCAAGTTTTTAATTTTTTCTTATTCATAAGCATGAAATCAGTTAGCATTGACGATTTAAGAAATGATTATTGGAATGCCATTCAAACAGTGTAAGCAGAGTCCATGTAGATGATTTTTTTGGTCATATGATTACGTTTTCTTCCATAAAACTTGTTCAGTTTGGGAAAACATTCTAATTATTACAAATATTTTCAATCCACTTATCTATTTACACTCCCTTTTACAATTTTGTTAGAAATATTACTAAAAGTATGATTGGCTTTCACTTAAGGGCTTAAACTCTTGAATCGAAATGGTCCACAACATGTTATAAAAGCCTCAACGATCAAGTAATCAGGAGTTAAGAGGTATTCCAAAAGCAAGATACTAACAAGGAGAACCCGTTGACATACATTTTATCACCTTCTTTCCAAAAAATAAGCCCAAACATGACCCCAACAATTACTGTTAAGAACAACCGGATGGCATTATATGGTGGATTCCTCCAATAGGACAAGTGTTGTTTCCAGAAGCAAGCTTTAGTTTGAGTAATGAATGGCTGGGAGTATGTGGTTGAGAAGTAAAGGTCCTTTGATCCTGGTGCTGGTGTGCTTTGGTCTTTAATAAGTTTCTGATTCCTCCTGGGAAACAAGAAAAGAAGGAAAGTAAGTGTGCCTAATTTCTGATGTTAGAAGGGATACCCTGGCTACTACTTACTGATATAATTCTGACTTGGTGTAGAGTCCTGCAAAGTCTACACCTAGTTGAGACTCAACAGCTGGAGAAGTGATATCCAACATCCACATAGCAGGATTATATCCGTCTTTGATCTTAGGAACTGATGGAATAGCCTGCAGAAGGGTGTAGACTAGAGCCTTAATCAGAAGGTTTTCTCTAATCTTTTGATAAAAATGCTTTCTTTTGTGCCCTAAATTCAAGTAATTCTCATGGTCTTATCACTACATGGCATGATAAAACCAGTAAATGCCTACCAGACTGTTATCTCCACAGAAAATGATAATTTCAATGCCCACTTATGGATACATTAGTGACAAAAATACTTGTTTACAAATTTATGCATCGCTAAGAATTCATACTCACTTCAAAGTACTCTATTAACCTCTGAGATTTCTGACCAAGGGGACCACTATACAGTACTTGGCCTCCTTTCTTCATCAAAAGCAGCTGAAGGCAAAATCAGATGAAATAGGTAAGCATGGTTCCTTTGTAACGATAATTTTGTATATATGTTTCGCATCCCAAATCTTGGAAAGTAATGGGACAAAACTCTGGGTGAAGTTCCTTGGAGGCTTGCCATTAATTCCTTCCACACGTCATAATTTATCAAAGAGCTTGATAGCAAACATATAAGAACTACAACTAAGTTCTTTTTTAGAGTCATATACCTCGTTGAAAGATTCAAATATGTCAATGCTTGGTTGATGAATTGTGCAGACAACAGTTCGCCCTGTATCCACCGTATTTCTGACAGTACGCATAACAACAGCTGCGGCTCTCGCATCAAGGCCAGATGTTGGCTCATCCATGAAGACTATAGAAGGATTAGCAACCAGCTCTACGGCGATGGTGAGTCTCTTCCTTTGCTCAATTGATAAACCATTTATTCCTGGAAGTCCTACTAGAAAGTCCTTCACTGAATGTAGCTCAACCAGCTCCATGACTTCTGTAACAAACATCTGCAATACAGAGAGAAGACTACCTAAGAATAGTTCTGTTGGAAACAATTGCAAAAGTGTCGCTGAGTAGCTGCAATATGATCCAGTAATACCTACGACCTTGCATGCTCACTTCGGTACCTACCAGACGAAGCCAAACAGTGATAAGTAGTTATGTATTTCTAACCCATTCAATCTGGGAATTATCGTATAAGAACATCTTGATGGGACTGGGAACTTCCATTTGAATGTCCCCTCTGCATCGAAGTTCATGATGGAAATTCTCAAATACATCGTTTAATGTGTGCACAAAATGTTCTTTTGGTAGGGAGTTTAATATGACTATTGATTTGAATCGTCAAAAAGATCATCAACTTTGAAGTCTAAGTTTTTAAGTAAATGCTTGTGAATACTTCAATCACAACTTCTAACACACCAATTTAGCACAAGCCTTACAGGTCTTGCGCTAGAAAATTAATTTTATAATCTCTAACCAGGGTAAACAAAAGCAATACCTTCTGTATTTCTCTTTTAACCTCCTTACCAAGACGCAGGCAAGCAGAAAAAATAAGAGATTCATAGATTGTGACGTTTGGAGAATGAATATCATTTTGCTCACAATAACCACTAATCCGAGCAAAAGTTGCTTGGTTCTTTGGGAAACCAGAAATGTTAATGTCTCCTTCAATATAACCACCAGTTTTTCGTCCAGCAAGAACATCCATCAAAGTGGTTTTTCCAGCACCACTTACACCAACTAGTGCAGTTAACACTCCCGGCCTGAAAGCTCCACTGACATCTCTTAGTAGTTGAAGCCTACTCGATTGAATTCCTTGCTTCTTCGTTTCCTGTGATGGAAACACTGTTACAACTCATAAATTCTTCTGAAAATTCAATTTTTTTATTAAATAATTTTGTAATAGAATCAAGTGTTGACCAATTTCTACTGCATGAATTTGTGATACCATAATGAATAACAATAGGAGAAGATTATTCAACTGAGAGAAGAGAGTGCAGTAGTTTACAGTTGGCATATCAATGTAGTAATTCACGTGATCAAAAGCAAGTGTGAGGGGCCGAAAAGGCAAGACCATTCCCTTCTTAGGTCTTGCAATTTCTTCTGTTTTCTGATTTACAATGTCCTTCTTGTCACCTGCAACCATCTCAGTGTATGAAAGCCAATGAGTTCTGTTTAGACTGAAAATACAAAAAATTTCAACAAAAGAATGAAAATTTCCAGCAGCCTTTTGGGGATTAAACATATGAAAAACTACCATATAGTTTTACTTTTTAACAGTTTATTTGCCAGAAAGCCGATGAGCTAAAGGTAAGAGTCGCTACCTTCAAATGAATTGTTAGCTGAATCTGAGGTATGTTGTCTGTTTTTCATTTCCCGTTTTTTGGTAGAGGATGATTCTGTCATGCTTGCCATTTTTTCATTCTCCTCGGTGATAATTGATTTAGAATCTTCAAACGCTGCAAATTAAATTTTTAAGACATTGTCTGAAACTGTCATTTATTATTGTTACAGAAAAAAATATTACTATGGATACTTACGGCTCAAAAATGTTAATGCAGCAATGAAACAAATGTTGAAAATCAGAGAAAAACCTAGCAAAGCACCAATACAGATCCAGTACCAGTATTCTTCAGTGAACATCCCTCTGGCCTTAAGAAGAGCCTTTCCAACTGTAGGTTCAGGTATTCTAGGGTCAATATTAGGCTGTCAAAAACATAAATCTACATCAATAAACTACAAGTCATACAATTTTGCAAGACAAAAACACTTGTGTTCATATTTTAAATGTCATACTGTGCTCCATCTTTTGTCAAGGAACTCATTGATGGCAATGGCATTTTGCCCATACATCATGGGAAACACATAATAACCCCATCTCATCCATGGTTTGATATCATCTGTAAAGGCAACAATCAAAACGTCACATACTATTTCAGATGATGCAATTACATGCATTTCAAGAAGTATTCCACCTGAAAGTTTAAGCTATCTGGTGAAGACCTATGAAAATGAGGACCAAATGCTATATTACTTAAAGAGAGGCTGTCATATCAGGTCAGTTACTACTTGCTCTCAGTAAGTTAAAAGTTAAAGCTCTTGTCTACATAACAATAAATAGTGATATATTTATTTTCTATCATGATTTCCCTTTGACCAGTGAAGCAGAAGTAGCAAAGCCAAAAAATGCTGCTTACCTTTGGCAACAATGAATCCACCAAGGACAAAAACAAGCAGGATTGTAAAGGTACCAAGAGTATTTGCCACAATCTGTGTTCTTCCAATTGCACCAATGAAGCGGAAAAGAGGTAAACCCATTTGATTCACACAAAAGAATGCCAAGAACTGACGAAAAAACCTGTGATCAATTTTTTTTTTCAAGACTCATATCATCAATTGTAGTTTGGAATTCAATAATACTAAATGATTAAAGAATATGTTTCAACTCAATTCTGTGTAATTGAAGTTGTATTGTTTCAACACAAAGTAATGGCACTATGTCGTTTCAACACAGCAAAAAATTATATTAACCACAAAATTTTAACACTTCGCATTCTATTTCACATAGTTTTGAAATTCAAAGATCTAGATCACCTGACAACTTGATCACAATAGATTCTGATCCCTACCTATTGGCAGCAGGAGCAAACCCAATGGGGTAATAAGTAAGGATGACCCATAATCCTGACTCCGTCAGAGAGAGAGGGATTCCAAGGACCCAAACGGGCAGTGCAAAAGACCATGCAGGATAAAACAAGAAATCTCTTTGCTTGAAGAAAACAGGAAGCCTAAAAACGATGAGCGAAAGTTCTGTCATTCCATTGAACATGACATTGAGAAGACTGAAGAACAGAGCACCGAAGAATTTCGTCCCATCTTCAAGTTGGCCATACTTCATTTCTGTTCTAAGAAACACTGTCAATGCTATCAAAGACATGATTATAAACTGAACAGCTCTAAAAATATATATGAATGAATTTCTCTTCATCAATAGCCATTCTCTAGCGAAGCAAACCCTGAAGAGTTCCCACCTCGAGATCCCATACTTCTCAGTCACCAATGCATCTGGATGAGTTCTACTTCTATCATAAGGAATTTGAAGCTCTCCATGAAGTTTTTGACCAATGTAGTACTTGTTGAAGTGATCTACAAACTCAGGCACACTAACATATTGGTAAGCTTTGTCCCTTCTAAACCAATACTGATCTTGGTCCTTCTTAGAAATAACTTCTTGTAAAAAATCTGCAACTCCCTTTCTTTCGGGGCATTTGAATCCTAAACTCTCGAAAAATTCCTGAACATTCTCTCGTGGACCTTGATAGACTATCTGACCTTCCGAAAGTAATATTATGTCATCAAAAAGGTCAAAAATTTCTGGTGCAGGTTGCAGAAGAGAGATTATCATTGTAAAATCCAGGATATGGACCATTTGTCTCATGAACTTGACAATTTGGAAGGTTGTAGAACTGTCCAAGCCAGTGGAGATACCATCCATGAAGAAAGCTTTTGCAGGCCCTACCAGCATCTCACCTGTAGGCTAGCACTTTTAAATGGAAGGCTGCGAAATGTGCCTTTTAAATGTTTTCAACCTATTGAAAATGTTGTTTTTCACCTAGACCTAATTCATTCGCGATCACTCGCAAAATCATCTGACATGTGTACAATCTGCCACTACCAAAATCATGTATTTGAAAAAGATTGACAGAACTTCAAAAGATAAATGATAAAATCAGAATAAATTATGATTATAGAAAGATTGGCACGAAGATTTTCGAACTCAAGGGACCAAACGAAATTTCATTCAAAATGAAGGAACCAAAAGTATATTGGATTCACTTTTTTCTCATACCAGTTGTTAATCGCTTCTTTTCTCCACCAGATATGCCCCTTCTCATCTGATCCCCGACCAAAGTATCAGCACAAATTTCCAATCCTAGAATCTGAGTCCAATTTCTTGGTATGTTAGAGAAGCAAGGGTACTTAGGCTACTGAATGAAAATGAAAGTGATTAAAAAGAATAGAGATAAAAGCAGTAAACCTTGAGAATATAATCCGTAACAAGGCTTGTTTCTTGGCCAGCCATGGCAGCGGCTTTCATGAAAGCATCTATCTCAGTTTCAGGTTTGATTCCAGCTTGCTTTTCTCGTTCTAACAATTGCAGCAGCAGATCATACCTTGTTCCAACTCCTAAACAACGTCCCGAAAAGTCCAGAGTTTCTCTGACTGTCATTCCTCCATAATGAAGATCATGCTGGCTAATATACGCACAAACTCTTTCAGGCACAAACTCGGATAACTCATGACCACAATATGTGATTTTTCCTGACACCTGATAATTGATCATGACCATTCCAGAGTTCAAGTCAAGGAAACCCAAATTTGACCTTTAAAAATTTTTGCAAACCAGGTTTAATTAAGAATTCTTTGGCTTGGTACGATGCATTGTTAAATGTATTGATTGACCAGTTATAAGCACCAATGCACATTCTTAAACACAATCCTGGTGGAAATAAAAATTCAAGTAAGAAATTCACTGTTAGTTTCTGCAACAGTAAAAACTTCAACTCTCAAATCAAATCACTCTCAAGTGGAATCTCCAATTCATCATTCTAACAAAACTGAACGAATTGAAATTAAACAAGAGCATGACCAACCCTTAAATCCTTGTCTGATTTAGCGGCAAGGGCCTGAAGCAGTGTAGTTTTTCCTGATCCTGGAGGCCCCAGAAGTAAAGTCATTCTACAAGGTGTAATAGGAAGCCAAGTTAGAAAAATACCCAAAATAATGCAGAATTGGTAAGTTAATGAAAAGTCAACTGTTAATTCATTAGATTTGGTTTTTTCTTTTTTACTCATTAGATAGTATTCCCCTAGAATTCTCTTTTTGTTTTTTTTTTTGGGGAAAAAAAGACGGCTAAAAGTTGCAATGAATTAATAGGAGGAATTTAGACGATGATAAAGTGGAAATGATATCTTTATGAGCAGCACCTTGAAGGCTTAAGGATTCCACTGACATCTTGGAGTATGTTGAGCATCCTTTTCTTAGATGGGAAAAGCTTAATTGATCCAAGAACTCCCTATTTTATCACAAACAATAAGAAGAAAAAGAGACAACTTTTTAACAGTATATTTGAAGGTAGAAAAAAAAAACTAGGCATTTTGAATAGCAGACAGTACAAGTTTTAATTATTTTAAAGAGCTATAAAGTCCATTCCAATTTGTTTTGGAGTAAATTAGTTATTTACTCTTCAAGATCACTTTTTTCTTTAATTGGTCTGTTAAAGATAAAATATTTATTTTGATCTCTCAATAAAAAAATTATTCAATGCGTTAGGCAAAACCAGAACACTCAAGTTCGCACTAAGCTTTATAATCATAATATAACAAGTGCATTCAATAATAAGATAAGAACATGATTTCTTGGAGACAATTTGTTATTAAATAAAAAAATATATATTTTGTGTGTTTTGACTGAAAAATTTGATGATAAAGATGAAAAAATACCTATAAATTTAGTCATTAAAAAAAGGTATAAAAATAGCGATGTGTGTGTGTGTGTGTCCATCCACAGATATTGATGAGCTACGGTTTAGCATTGATGCACATGACATGCTTTTATTTTATTAATTTATGAAATTAATACCTCAATTGCATTTAAGGTGGAATTCAGGAGAGTTGGGAGTGCTCTGGTTCCAATATATGCATCTCCATCTACATTCAAATGCTCAAATCGAACTTCAATCTTCGGAATCTCTATTCCAACCCTAAAGCCAGAGGATAAAGAACATCAATCAAAATAAAGCCAGAGGAGATCTAAGCTAAATAAAGCTAC